CCTTCATACTCACACCAATTTCTCTCAATTTCATTTTTCTTCAGTTTTTACGGTTAAAAAGGGTAAATTTATGACATCAAAATGGATATTGAAGGAACTCAATGATTTTCAGAAGAATCCTCATACATCATGCAGTACTGATAGACAAACATTTTCTATGAAGTAGATTATTTTAATTTTTTTAAAATCGATTTAATGTACAGTATTATTAGAACACGTTGAAAAGATATTCGACGGAATTTATGAAGTTATGTGATTGTTTGTCATTCTTTTTTCCTCTATGATTGAATTTTTCATTGTGTTGTGATTTTAATACTGATAGAGACCCTTGATTTGTCCTAAATTTTGCATTGTATTGTCAATAATTAATTAATTTTTACTACATACATGCATCGGGTCTTGGTAAAGAAATGAAATACTGGTGCAACCAATACATGTAATTTGAAATTCTATGAGTACGAGATGAATATGACATAATGTCTTACCTCAATATGTAGAAAAATGAGGGTTATATTGAACTTTATTATCTCTTTAGTAGGACATCAACACCTAATCATCTATACCCTGTCTTTTTTAAAAAAAGAATAGAGAGACCTTCAAATATAAAGTTTAGAAAATAAGTTTTGAATCAAATCTCTTAATATTATTTTTTTCACCCGTCATCATTTCAAGTGTTTTAAGTTTAATGTAACTAATACTTATGACAAATATTTTTTTATATATTTATATTTACGCTTAAATCTGTTTGGTATTATTTTAGTTTGAGTCAGCAACTGTATGTCTCTCTGTATACAAAAGCATTTTCACACTTACAAACATATATTTTTCGTGGCTGTATCTGTTTCTGTACTTAATTATACTATATATTTTTTCCGATAGTTATAAGTTTTATATGCATAAAATTTTGCTAAATGTATAATATCTAATGGAAAACAAAATAAACAAATTTTCATTGAATTTATATACAATGCTAACATAACCTTAAAAATAACAAAACTCGTGCATTGCACGGGGCTAAAACTAGTCATAATGGAAAATGAGCTCCAAGAATGAACTTATAAATGGAAAAAAGTTACGGCCAATAAATTAATTTCTGACGATGCTCTCAAATGACATTAGCGACGGTCCTTCGTGTGAGGGGAGGGTAGAGAGAGACGGGAAAGGAAGAGAAAATTAATTTATAATATAATTATTAATATTTAAAATTTTAATTATCATCTGATTTTTGGAAAAAAAAAACTTGTAAATCTTAATTTTGAAATAAAAAGTTTAAAATTCTTAATGACTTTAATTTCCACTAAAAACAATTATACTGATTGTACAAGGCCACATCGGCCCGTACAACCAGCAAAAGTGATTTTCAGTTTTTACGGAGAAACCATTCGTAATCAAGAGGGTATTGTTGATCTTTACTGTAATTAGTAGGGGTAAATTCGACAATTCACAGGATAAGATTGATTTTTATTTTAGATAATTATATTGTCGCCACAAGATTTACCTGAAACACAACATTATATTCACACCACAATTAAAATATATTTTCAATAAATACACCATAAAAAGTTCACAATTATACTCATAATTCAATAAACATTAAAAATTAAAAAGAAAATAAAATAAAATATTGTGGTGTACTCATCATCCTAATATTACTTCTCATTTACAAATACCAACAACCTTTCTATGCCACCGATTTTCCAACATATATTTATTCAAAAGCCGAAAATCGTGGAAGGTGCAGTTCATTCGCATTTCAATCATGGGATTTCTTCTCCATATTGCAGAGTACATGCTATGTTTGATAGTTTTAATGTTTCTACGTGTAGGCCGTGATGATTATTATTTTTGTTGAGTTGGGTCGGGGCACGGGAAAGTCTAATCATTATCTTGGTGGGGCTAACCCGGGTAGCTTGCAACCGGGTTTTTGCAGCCATGGCGGTGTCTCACTCTCTCTGCCTTTCCATAAAGGTTTAAACTCGGAGTGTGATTATTCTTTTTGTAACAATTTCATGACTTGCTTATGCTATAATGAAAAAAGATAAATGCAATTAACTCAAAGATAGCATCGGTTACTGCCAGTGGTGTCAATTTTAATTATATATTTATAAAATTAATTAAAAATAAATTAACTTATATAAAATTATGTAGATGAGAAATAATTGATACATGATTAGTTAATAATACTGACTCACTGGTTTGTTGGGATTTGGGGAAGAAATAAAAAATTGAGTAATGTTACTTGCAATCGCTCACTGCAGCAGTCGTCCTATTGTGCCACATAGGACGACTGCTGCAATGAGCGATTGCAAGTAGCATTATTCTAAAAAATTAGGCTTATGACTGTGGTGGACCAATGAATTATTTTATGGGATAAATATATTAAAAATTAGTTAATTTAAATATAAAAGTGAGGTTAATTAAGTAATTTTATTTTGGGTCATTTAAGTAAACAATAAAATTGTGGTGTAACAAGTCAAGGTGGTTTTATTGAAATTATAAAGGGAAAAGGACGACTCTTCTTGAAACTGGAGAGTTGCATTATAACGTTGCATATATACGGAGAGAGGAGAGAGGAGAGAGATCTGGAGAGTTGCATTATAACGTTGCATATATAGGGGGAGAGAGAGACGGGGGGAGGGAGAGAGAGAGAGCAGAATTAAACAACAAAATTCTAAAAATATTGTTGGTTTTCTAGGATTCAACAAACGAATTGAATCGAATTGATGACAAACTATTGAATCCGGGAAGGCTGGCAACCGCCGTGTTGAATCGTTCGTAGCTCACTTTATTTTTTTACCTTCCGTCTGTCATCCGTTTTGAATAAGTTTCGGTGTTCTTTTCAATTATGATTTATATTTTTATTGATTTTTGCAGAAGAAGAGAAATTTTCAGTGAAGAAGTTTGGTCTCAGGAGAATTTACTTTGGCTGGATACCCATTTTAATGATTTGGATTGTTCAGAACCTGGAAAATTGTTCAACTGATTGGTTCCCAATTCCCAATTTTCGTAGGTGCAGCTAAAAAGTAATTGTCTTTTTCCTTCTTTGTAATTGTCTCGGCAATACACAGTGAACTTTTTTCCGTCCAGTTTTGGTGGATGACAAACAAATTTCATCGAGTTTGAAATTTGAGGTTTTAAATTAGAAAAGATGGATGGGATGCATAGGATACTGATGGAGGTTCTAACAGCACCCCAAAGGGGCGGTGAATCGTTGCTTGGGACTGTTAAGATTGCTGTTTTACCAATAGCAAAGGTTTTTACTATGTGCTTTCTGGGGTTTCTCATGGCCTCCAAATATGTTGACATTCTGCCTGCCAACGGAAGGAAGCTCTTAAATGGGGTAAGCACTATTTCTATGAGTTTTACTGTTGCACTTTGTTTGCGATGTTTACCAGCAGATCTAGTAATAAACCAAATGGATGGTAAAAATGGACTTGCGCTGTTGACCTCAAATTTATTGGACATTTAGCCCCTGTTTAGTTTAGATAAAAATCATATTTTTAGTCAATTTTGATAGAAGCGGGTAGAACTTGTAATTGAAAAGTTGTGGTCCATGAAATGTGAGATTAAAATTGATGGGAGACTTTGACTTGGATTTTAATTTTTTTTTTTTCTAGCTGAACCAAACATGGGCTTAGTTTGTTGTTCATTGTTGTTATGTGTATTTTGGATTTCATGTAACAAGAGGCTGAATTTAGTCCTTCCATATTGAACTGCTACCTTTGTATAGTTTATGTATGTAAGTTTATATGAAACATATTACTGCCAAACTTTTGGGAAAACCTGCACTTCATTTCCGTCCAGTTCTATGCTAAGCCTGTTATGACGGCAGAGTTTAGGTTAAGAAGAGGTGAAATCAACTTTTAATTCATAATCACTTTGTAGAGTCTGATAACAAAATTATTTCACTTTATGAGTGTGTCTACATTTCATTAATTTAGAGGTGAATTGTTTAAATTTCATATCTTGCATATATTTTTCTTTTTCTACGCAGTCAATTGTATTTGCAGTCATTTCCCTTTACTACCAACTAATTGTTCGTATGACTTGATGCAGCTGGTTTTCTCGCTTTTGCTTCCGTGTTTGATATTCTCTCAACTTGGACAAGCAATTACTTTTGAGAACATGATTCGATGGTAAGGATTAGATATTGACCTGCTTGCTCATTTTAAATTACGATACGATAGCCAGTTTTAATAGCCCAACTGACATTTTTGTCATTTTGTAGGTGGTTTATTCCTTTCAATGTTGTTCTTGCAACCATATCAGGATCCATTATAGGTCTTATTGTTGCATCGATTGTCCGTCCTCCATACCCATTCTTCAAGTTTACAATTATACATATCGGTATTGGTAAGTATTAAATTTGGACATAAACTTTCAGTTATTTTGTGCTCTGTCACCTTTACTGTGCTATTTTGGTTTTAGTCAATAGTCAAGGATGGGAGTTGTTGCTAAGACTGAACAATTAAGACAGTGAGTTTGAGTACCATTCCATGGAAGTCAATAATAACTAATTTACAAATATGTTCAGCAAACATGGTGTATCTAATACATTATGAAATGAGATTTAAACGTATAAACTAATTGGGAAAAACAAGAAAAAGCAACGAAAGAGATTATGACTAGAAGCTTTACATTTATGTGTGTGCGCAACCACGAGATCACCCAGTGTTGCATTTGTATCAAGGACTGGACTTTCCCTAATACTTCATTCTTATTCTTGTTGGGTTCAACTGAGCAATATTTTTAATGTAATGGAAAAATAAATAAGGACTAGGGAATGACCTCTAATTATATGTAGAGCCATATATAAAATGTTTTGTTGGGTCCATTTATTGCAATTGTTGATCCTCCCACCCCGGAAATCCCTTCCTCTATGCTACAGTTGCAATTTACACCTTTCGTATGGGAGATGGATGAGCCAGATCATCCAGTTGAACAGATGTCTTCTATTATGTTATATGCAATTAAGATTTCATTGAAAATAGAGATGGTTCAAAGTGCTTGCCATTTTCAGTTTCTTGCACTCTACTTGAATATTCAGTATGTTATATATCAATCTGATCTCTTTATTCAGTACAATAAATTTTGAAACTGAATGGTTTGAACACACAGATAGGTCATGTCATAATAACTCTCGTGTTCCTGAATATTCTGGAACTTGCTTGTTTACAGGAAATATTGGGAATGTGCCACTTGTCTTGATTGCTGCATTATGCCGGGATAAATCTAACCCTTTTGGGGACTCTGATAAATGTTCTCAAGATGGAAATGCCTACATCGCATTCGGCCAATGGGTAAGTTTTAAATTCAAAATGCTCGCTGGCACTGCAACTCACCTTTAATCCCCTTATACCTTTTCACTACCTCTGCTCGTAGATCTTCTGGTCACTGCAAATAAATGAATATTTCGAAATCTTTAAATTCAAAAATTGGCAAAGCCCATAATACAAGAACTCTCGTGGACAAAAAAACAAAAAGAGGCGAAATGGCAAGACAAATTTTATATCGATGGAGGAAATAACGATGTGGATTTCAGCACTTCAACAAGCCTATATGCATTATTTACCATAATGTATTTTCTGTTTACTCAATAATTTATTTTGTTGATAGGTTGGTGCAATTGTCCTATACACCTATGTATTTAATATGCTTGCGCCTCCTCCTGAAGGCACGTTTGATGTTGAAGAACGAAATCTTCCCATTAAGAATCCTCCTAAAAGTAGCTGCAGTAACCCTGCAGAGGATAGTTCCCCTGAGCAAATTCCCCTGCTCACAGAAGAGGCTACATCAACTAATTCAAGTGTTTCAAAGAAGGAAAAGGTGAGTATGAACCTACTTCACATTCAATATGCACTGTGTTGATTTACTGTGCTCAGGTGCGTTGATATTGAAAATGTCAAATGACAATATTACCTTTCATAAAGTAGAAACACTTGAAATTTTTGATTTTTGAGACTTAAGGATTCAAGGATAGAAGTATGTAGTTATATGTAAACTCAATTTGACATATAAATGAGTGTTATGTAAGTGATATAGGTGGACGCCATGGTTTATAACACATATCAAGCAGTCGTGGTTGAATTTTCTGTATTGAATCTACTAATTTTGCCCTATTTGTGCTTTATTGTGCAGATTAAAGATTTTCTGAAATTTCTTTATGAAAAATTGAAGCTCAAACAAATCATTCAACCTCCTATTATTGCTTCTGTGAGTTCAGTTTCTTTGCTCTCTTTTCGCGATGGTTAATCTCTTGTTTCCCTGCAAATGGAATATCCAATTTCTTAAACTCTTTGTTGATATACCATAGGCATTTAAATGACAAACTCATTTCCCTCGTTAGTGACTAATGACTCAGTGTATGAAATTCGAAATCTACATTTCACTACACAAACATGATTTGGAATGCTCGTCATTAGCAGCATCAGTACGATAAAATTGTCAGAATGCCTATCAGTTAAAAGTTGAGTTACTATACCTAGTAACAAACCTGTACCTACTCAGAAATATATCTCAAAAGTTGTTTCAGGGTGGTGCCTTGGGTTAATATTTATTTGTCTTTTTTTTTTTTTTTGTGTGGGGTGGGGGGTGTTGCCAGAAGAGTTGAAAGAGAAG